TCTTCAATTATCTTTTGGAATTGTAGAGGAGCTAAAAAGAAAAAAGCTTCTTTGTATCTCAAAGAGATAGTAAAAGATCATGGGGTATTTTTTATGCGTTTGATTGAAACCAAATTATCTTCTATTGATAGATGGGAGATAGATTCTATGATTGGTTCGGATTGGAAATTTTTTCAAGTTCCTTCTGTGGGCTTGTCGGGAGAAATTTTGATGCTATGGAGAGATAACTTTGCTTTTTTCAATGTTTTGGATTTTTCTTCTCAATTGGTTATTGGTGAACTTGATGTTCCCAATAAAGGAAGATGGAGACTAGCTACTATCTATGGCAATAAAGATGTATATAGAAGAAGATTGCTTTGGAAAAAATTGGAATTTTATTCAGATACTGAGTTGCCTTTGGTGATAGGGGGTGACTTCAATTGCTTGCTTACTAAGGAGGACAAAAGAGGAGGGAGAAGATTTTCCTTTTACCAAGGACCTAAAGAGATGCAATCTTTCTTGTCTTGCAATGACTTACATGAGGTAGAATGGATTGGACTAAGGTTCACTTGGTGTAACAACAAAGTAGGTGCTGAAAGAATTCTGGAGAGACTCCATAGATGTTTTATAAACTCTGTTGCCTTTAAATCAGCTCATCAAATGGTGGTGAGACATTTGGCTAGAGTTGCATCTGATCATTGTCCGATTTTATTAAACTTGCTGGAATTCAATCCTTGTGCTAAGAGAATCATAAAATTTGAAGAGGTATGGGCTTCTATACAGGCTTCCAAATTGGTGATCGAAAAGGCATGGAGGAATAAAGCTTTTGGTGGACCTTCTCAAGTTCTTAACAGTAAACTGAAAAGTGCCTTGAAGAATCTTTTCTATTGGAGCAAAGCCAAATTCAAAAAATTAAAACTTGCTAGAGAAGAATTAAAAGGAGATATATTGAAGCGACAAGAAAAAGAAGCTGAAGAAGGTTGGCTCTCGGTAGAAGACAGTTGGATCCTTAAAAACAAAGTAAATGAGTTGAATTCCACTTTGGCTCGTTTGAACAATTGGTGTAGGCAATGTGCAAAACTCAAATGGCTTGAAGATGGTGATAGGAATTCTAGATTCTTTCAAGCTTTTGCTAGTGCTAGAAAGAACTCTAATTTCATTAACAAAATAAAAAATGATGAAGGTATTATTGTGGAGGATCAACAGCTAATTGAAGAGGTTATGTTCAGATTTTTCAAAGACAAGTGGAGGTTTAGAAGATACACTTTAACTCGATGGCCGAATTCAAATAACTCTTTGAATGAAGATGATTTTTATATGTTAAACAAGGAGTTCTCCATAGAGGAGGTGGAATCTGTGATCAAGGAGGCAGGAGGAAGTATATCATCGAGAAAGGATGGAATTAATTACACATTCATTAAAGCCTATTGGTCCATAATCAAGGAAGATTTCTGGAATGCAATCAACCATTTTCTTTGCTCAAGGGAGATGTGTAAGGAGTGGAAAGAGACAATTATTGTATTGATTCCTAAGGTGAGTAATCCTTTATCTCCTTCCAATTATAGACCTATTAGCTTGTGCAACTTGGTCTATAAAGTGGCGTCTAAGGTCCTTTTGAATAGATTGTCTCCTATTATTAAAAAATTGGTTTCTGAAGAACAAGCGGCTTTTGTGAAGGAAGATCACAGTTTGATCATGTTCTTGTAGCGCAAGAAGTTTTCCATAAGCTTTGGTTTTCTAGAACCACTAAAGGGCTAGTTTCTTTCAAAATAGACATGGAGCAAGCTTATGATTCAATGGGGTGGTCTACTTTGGAAAAAGCACTAGATTACTTTGGATTCCAATGAAATTTTCCAAATTGATATTGGAATGTGTTCAAGATCCGTCCTTTTCTTTGATGATTAATGGGAACCTCATGGATTGGATCAATGCTTCTAATGAATTTCGTCAAGGTTTTCCTCTATCACCATTTCTTTTCATTCTATGCTCACAACTTATAACGAATGATTTTTCTCAAAGTAGTAATAACATAGGGATTCGTGTGAATCCTGGTGGGCATAGAATATCACATTTGCTATATGCAGATGATGTGATTATCTTTTCAGAAGCAAGTTTAAAGGCGGTTAAAGAAGTGAAGGCCATTTTGATATACTTTTGTGATTGGACAGGGCTTAAGATTAATGACAGCAAATCTTGTATCTTATTTGGAAATTCAATTAGAAGGAGAAGGAAGAAGGCTATTTCCAAGATCATGGGATTCAAGACAGTCAAAGAAATGCAATATTTGAGAGTAAAAATTGCATTGAGAATATTAGTTAAATCAGATTTTCAATTCATCATAAGATAAGGCATTAAGGATGTTGAACATTTGGGGAGGTAAAATGTTATCCTTAGCGGGAAGAATTACCTTAGTTAAATCGGTGTTGCTCACCTTCCCTACTTTTCATGCTACTTTATCATGGATACCTAAAGGTATACTTGATGAGATAGATAAGCTTTGTAGAGGCTTTACTAGGAGCAAAAATGGTGGAAATCATGAAATTCATTATGTAAAATGGGAGATGATGTGCAAACCAATTATTTGTGGTGGTAGAAGTCTTAATTCTTGCTCAAACAAAGCAGGCCCTTTGAGGGCCAAATTAGCTTGGAATTACATCAAGAACACAAACTCTATAATACACAAAGCATTGTATTCAAAATATGGATATCCTTATGATGTTGTCTATTCAAAATCTGCTGGGTCAACTGCTTGGAGGCTGATCTGTGATGGTGCCAGATTCCTAAAACCAATTATCAGATGGAGCATAGCTTATGGGAAATCAATTGACGTATTTGAAGACACATGGATTATGGACAAGAGTCTTAACAGATGGCCAACATTTGTAATTCCTCAAAGCAATACTTTCTCAAAAGTTGAGAGTTTTATCACTGAAGGAAGATGGGATGTGAATAAACTGGGGGAAGCCTTCGGAATCGAGCTGGTGGAATTGATATGCAAAGTCCAGATTAAACCTGATCTAATGGAAGATAAAATAGAGCTCATTTACAACTATTCTGGAAAGTCTATCTCTACTATGGCTGCTAAAGTGCCAGAGAAAAAAGATGAGATAGAACTTAAATATTGGTAATTGATCATAAAAGCTGTTGTATACCCGATAACAGAAAATTTCTAGTGGAGATTGTTCCATAAAGCTATCCCTACTAACCAGTTTTTAACACATAGAAGATTGCAAAATTATAACAGATGTCCAAGAGATTGTGATGGGATAGAAGATGTTGAACATGTGGCTATCAAGTGCAGAAAGTTGAAGGATGTTGTCAAAATTGTAAATAGATGGGGATTTCAAATTCCATATTTTGAATCCTTCAATAGCTGTTGCAGATGGATGAGCTCCCAAAATTCTTGGTTAGTAAATTTATATTGTAATATCGTTATTCTTTCATGGAAAGCTAGGAATGAGTGGATTCATAACAGTATTGAGGGGAATTCACTGAGTATAACAGCTAATGCCGTTAATTATGCTGCAAACTCAGCAAAATCATTTCTAAATATCTCGAGTAGTTTGGATGTCAATCGGCACATGCTGTTGGAAAATAGTTGGCACCCTCCTCAACCCGATTGGATTAAAGTCAAAGTAGATGTTTCTCTTCTACCTTCTTATAAAGCAGGAATTGGTGGAGTTTTCCGAGACAACAAGGGAAGATTTCTATTGGGTTTTGGCAAGCAATGTCTTCATTGGGATATATCTCATTTGGAACTCTTGTCTATTCAAGCTATTAGAGAAGTTGTGAAAGATTGGATGTATGATTTCAAAGGAATCATCATTGAAGGGGACAACTATAATATCATCAGATTTCTCTAGGATATCACAAAGAAATAAGGCAAAAAAATTGGTAGAATTCTCTTTTTTAAATAGTTTCAATAATGTCATTTTTAATTGTATAGATAGGGATAATAATAAGTTAGCTGATTTATGTGCTAACTATGCAATCTTTAGCTCTTTCAATTTTGAATAAGATTTCTCCTTTTGTTAAGATTTTAAAGGAGGAATCGGATGCTTCTCCTGGGTAGTTTGTAATCCTTTTATTGTCTTTTTTCAATATAGCTTCTTGCTTCTCTCAAAAAAAGAAGCAAATGAATGGTTAGGTTAGATGAACAATTTTAGAGACCACTATTGAAAGTAAGGTAGTTAAATATAAATTTAGGTGGTTTGGATATGTACAACAAAAGGTAGAAAATACACTACATGAGTAGATAAATTATTACTAGAAGACTGGGGAGAAAAAAAGACAAACTTGTTAACATGAACATATTTGAGCGACCACTAATAAAGATAAGGTAATAGAAAATAAACTCAAGAGGTTTGAACATTTACAACAAATGGTAAAAAATGAACCCATTGCACCAGTAGATAATTATTGCTTGGAGGATTATGGAGAAAAATGATCAAACTTAAGTTAAAAATGAATAATAGTTCAAAATAATTTACAAGGAATAGGTTTAATACCTCCAAAAGCCTAGAGTAGAAACAAATAAAAAATGGGGATTCATGAAGACAACCTCAAATAATTAAAATAAAAAACAATACTAATGATAATGATGAAGATGGAAATGAACGAAAGTAGCAAATTAAGGCAAATTTTGGAGCAACATCTATTATTTATTTAAAAGAAAAAACACTATGAAAACTGCTATATTCCAAGACGTAATAATATTTTTATATCATCAGCAAAGCACTGACATTGGAGCCAACAACAATAAGATCCAATAAGTCGCTAGCAACGTTCAGAAAAATGGTAGGCGTCAAATAGATGACACTATAAATGTGAAGACATGGTGTTTACACTGTTTACACAAAGAAACATGAGCACCTTCACATCCATTATATTATACCCCCATTTCAAACCACCACCATAATGCAATCATTTTTCAAAAAGCATAAGCAGCCACTGTACACATGTATATAGTTGCAGCTACAATAGGGTAAAGGCAGGTGATTGTTTAAACCACAAAGCATTACCTCTGAATTATCCAACCGGCGATCCCAGGCCTTGAAAACAGATTTAATGCTTCCAGCAACTGATTCATTCAAAGCGGTTACCTAAAGAGAAGAGTAGTAGGCTAATGGCATTCATGCAAAAAGCAAATATATAAAGAGGTATTTAGAGAATTGAAAGCATGAAAACTTTCAAACAAGACACATTGCTGCTCAAGGAAAAAGTGATTCAAGCAAGTAAGAACCCATGAAGAAGTGAAATGGGTAGCGACATAGCGTGTAAAACAAAAACAAAGTTACTAAAATGTGAATAAATGCAAGTACCTCTATGCAAATAAAGAGTTCATGTTTAGACTTGCACAGATTAAAAGCATGAGGAAATTAATAATGAAAGAAATCCATGAAAAAGATAACAAATGGCAGACATCCAGCCTATTTGGGAATTTATCAATATTCATGGTCGTAGCCTATTATTTATTCCCACTAATCTTATTCTGTGTTTATTAGAGTTCTTTAATGAGAAATACTTCAGAGTAGTATTGTCATTTGGATGTTATAACATTATTTTTGTTAAATTCAGAGATTTAAGAGGGAAAAGACTTTTTGCTATTGCACAAATATGTCCCTATTTATGTATATATCATAAAAAGAAATAAATAATTATAGAATCATTCATAATTGCTCTAATATAATCCTTCCTAAATCAACACCCTAACTATGGAAGGAGATCAGCTTGATTCGGGGGAGGTAAGCCTCCCATAGATCCCCCTGTGAGATCAAAATGCTAAGGGGCGGCTAGGATTTTAACACTCCCCTCAAGCTGGGGAATACAAATCTGTCATCTCCAGCTTGGTAATCAGTCCCAAAAAGGTAGAGTTGTCAAGTCCCTTGGTAGGAATATCTACAAGCTGATCTTTTGATGAGAAGTGGTAGATACATATAAGACCATCCTTTATGAAATGTCTATCCTCTTCTATGTGCTTGGCCATGTCATGTTGAACCAGATTGTGAGCTACGTTGATTGTTCATTTGTTGTCACAGTATAGCTTCATCGGTCATTCCCACTTGATCATTAGGTCTTCTAGGATCATCTTGATCCATAGTAGCTCACATATTCCGAAGGTAATAGCTATGCATTCTGCTTCTGCACTAGACCTTATCACCACATTATGCATCTTGCATCTCCATGTAACAAGATTTCCTCCAAGAAATGTACAGTATCCTGAGGTAGATCATCTATCTATTGGTGATCCTGTGTAATATACATACGTATATGCTTCTGGGATTATTCCTCAATCTCTTCCGAAGAGAATCTCTTTAACTGAGTTGCCTTTAAGGTAGTGCAATATTTTATCTACAACTTGCAAATGAGTCTGCTTTGGAATTTGAATGAACTAGCTGATCATACTTACAACAAATGCAAAGGTATATCAATTTTCACAAGTTTCTAGTAAGCCCCTTATCTACATTTGGGTCTTCTTTAGCTTCTCCCAATTTGAGATTTGGTTCTACCGATATTGGTGCTAGTTTACATGCTAGCTTATCGATTTTTTTAAGAAGATCATTAATATATTTTCATTGTGAAATGAAAATTTCTTTGCTAGAGTGGACTACTTTAATTCTGAGAAAATATTTTTATCCACCAAGATCCTTGATCTCAAATTCCTTAGTAAGACATTTCCTTAGAAGCACTTTCTCCTTTTCATCATTCCCAATCAAGATGATAGCATACACATACACAAACAAAATTGTGACTTCCTCTAAGTCTAAGTATTTGAAAAATAATGTATAGTCCCCTTGGCTATGTCGATAACCATTAAGTAGCATGACTTTTGAGAATCTTCCAAACCAAGCTTTAGGTGACTGTTTTAGCCCATATAAAGCCTTTTTTATCCTACACACTATGTCACCCTCAGATTTCTCTTTGAATCCTGATGGAATTTTTATAAATATTTCTTCCTCCAAGTTCCCGTGTAGGAATGCATTTTTGACATCCAGTTGTTCCAAATGTTAGTTATAATTAACTGCTAGTAAGAGGAGGATCCTCAAGGTTTTCATCTTGGCCAAATGGTGCAAAAATTTCCTGGTAGTTAATTTCGTATGTCTGAGTGTACCCTTACCTTTTCAGCGTACCATCAGCTTTGTATTTCACAGAGAACCCCATTTGCAACCAACTAGTTTTTTTTTCTACTGGTAGGTCGGTGATCTCCTAAGTATTGTTCTTTTTCGAGGCCTACATTTCATCTTTGAAGACACTTCTCTAATTTGTATCAGATAAAGCCTCTAAAATATAATTAGGAATATGAATATCATTTAATGTGATAAAAAAAAAATTGTGTGAATTTAACAAGTTTATGGAATGATACAAAGTTGATTATGGGGTACATGGGAGGTTTTTTTAGCAAATTTGTTTTTCCCTCAATTTCAGGAGACTGTTTAGATTCTTGGATTTGCACTGGAGCATAATTTGAATTTGTACACATGAAATATACTTTCCCAAATCTCTTGTTATCAATAATAGGTTTGTCCCTAGTTTACTCGGCTTTGACTTCAATTTTAGGTGGATAAGTTTGAAGTGAAGCTGGAAGGTCAAGAGGGACAATCTCACTTTTCTCCTAAAGATGGGTTTTGGTAAAATTAGATTTTTTTTCATCAAAAGTAATGTCAATAAATACAAGGGTTTTCTTGGTGAAGGGATTATAACACTTATAACATTTCTACATGGATGAATATCCAACAAAGATACATTTAAGCAACCTTGGATCTAATTTTCCTCTATTTTGGTTGTGAATGTGAACATAGGCAGTGCACCTAAAGATTATGAGTGTAAGGTTATTATAGGTTCAAAATTCAGAGTAAAAAAAGGATAGAATATCCATTGCTGTTTTTAGTCCAAATGTTTTTTAAGGTAGTCAGTTTATGAAATGTGTAGCAGTCAGAAGGGCTTCTCCCCAATAGGATTTGAGTACATTGTGGGTGAAGGCTAGAAGGTGATCATTTTTTTTTCTACAAACCAATTTTGTTGTTGGGTGTAAATGTAAGAAGATTCATGAATGATACCTTCTTTTTAAAAGAAGGAAGTTAGGGTTTGGTTAAAATAATATTCAGTATTGTCGAAACAAAAATTTCTTATTTTTACCCCGAATTGGTTCTGGATCATGGTGTGAAAAATGGAAAAAATAGTCCTAACATCGGTTTTATTTTTAAGGAGAAAGACACAAGAGACTCGAGTGCAATCATCAATAAAAGATACAAACCATCGGGCCCAAGAGACGTTAGGAATTTTTTAGGGTACTCAGATATAACTATGTACAAGGTAGAATGGGATATCACATCTCTCATTTTTGTTTGAAACAAAAAACTCATTTATGTTTGGTCAAGATTTAAAATTGTGCAATTGGGTATTGAGGCATTTTTTGTCATGAGGAGAGGCAGAAGCCTCAAGGCGTTTTGAGCCGAAGCCTCGAAATCAAAAAATTGTGTTAAGTCAAAATAAATGTTAAAAGTAATTTTGTATATAATATTCGAATAATATGTTAAAGGATGACACATTAACTTCTTATTGAATTATGAAGTAACAAATCGGCATACATATCAAATAAAAAATTGCACAAAAGATAAAATGGCAAGTGATAAATTGCGTGAAATAAAATTGAAATACAAATATTATAAGAGCAAAATAATATTAAATATATGAATGGCATAAAAGTATCATATAATATTAAGTTCAACTCCAAATTCCTTATTTCTCAATTTCCTACTCATCCACATTTAACTCCTAAAGAAAATTAAAATAGTTGAAAAAAATTTAAAAATTATTTGCACATCATCACTGAGGGATTTTTTATTAGAGTCGTCATCATAACAAATTGGTCTCTCCCTTATCTCATCCTATGGAGTCCAATGTCTCCCTAATTGCTTCTTTTTCATTTATTTTAGTCATATTCCTCTTTCATAAATGTTTTCATTAACATAAAGATGAGACTAATACTCTAAAAATTTTAGAGGTAATGGAGATGTACGGGTTTCAAGTGATCCGTGGTGTGAGCTACGGCGATGGTGACTATGGAAAAAACGGAGGGTTAGAGGTCTAGGCAATTGAGAAGAAGTTGTTGCAGCTTATGGGTGCATTAAAGCGTGATTTGTTTGGGACTTTAGTTTAAGATTTATAAAAGTTTTAATATATATATATATATATATATATATATATATATATATATAAACTGGGTGAAGCATATAAACTGGGTGAAGCATAAACCTAATGCCAGTGAGGCATGGTGTGCCTCAAAGCAGGCCTCAGCCAAGTTAAGGCACAAGTATTATAAAAAAAAATTGAGGCTTAAGCCTCAATGCATTTTTTACTAGAATTGCACTGAGGTAGGCCTCAAGGCGAGCCTTATATTGCGCAATTTTAAACAATATGTTTGGCTAACTTACAGGTTACATAATGAAAATATTCATTTTTTACTTATAAAATAATTATGGATACATATTTTTTAAGACATCAAAAGATAAATGTCCTAATCTAAAATGATGAAGCCAAGTAGTAAATTTTTTATTAAATAGGGATAACAAAGAATAGCCATTATTACATTTGCTTAGCCCTTTCAAATAGCACAGTCCATCTCTCTCATTAGCAAGTCAAATCTTCTTCCTTGATCCCTAGTCCTGAAATAAGCAACAAGTAAGGTTAAATAGAACTTGACGATTATGGTCACTAGTAATTTTTGTATGGAAATTAGATTTAAGCATAAATGAGATACGTAGAGTACATTTTTAAGAGAGGGGGAGGGAGATAAGGGTATGTGATGTAAGCACAGTAGATAGAAAAGCCAAACAAGGAGAACAAAGGGCAAAACTAAACCAAACTTGATTCAAATTGTAGCAATCATCTATAACATCCAAAATCTAACGAAGAAAACTAAAAGGGAATTCAAAGAAACAAAGAAAATAAAAACAACGCTATCCTCAGACAACCGTCGGAGCGGGTTCCTCACATATATCAAAAGTAGGTTAAGTAAAATAAGTGCTTATGGCTAACAAACCGAGGGTCCACCACTACAAGATAGTCCAACCGTCCAATCCAAACTCGTCCAGCAAATGCT